TAAAGAAGCTCTATTGAGGTATGTATGGCTAAAAACCCTATTCTTAGAATTGAACCCCATGGAATTCATGCAATCAGTGTATGTACCAAATTGATCATTATAGAAATTGCTATCTCAAATGTGCTTACGTTGAAGAATATATGTGCAATGTATATTCCAAGGCTTTTATCATGTAATCTTACCATTTGAGATTGTGTTAAAAATATGGAATATGAGCTAAAAAGTCCTAGTCTTCAAGTCAAATTTGAATAAAGATTGTTATACCAAATTATGTGAAAAGTCTTTATGCTTCTTAGATTCTAAATTGCTCACATGTGTAAAAAAAAGTCTTGAATTAAAAGCCTTGTTGCGGTTGTTGATGATAATAATGTTTGGATGTGGAAAAGAACACGAACTATGAATGTGTCCAAGAGCCAAGTATGGATTGAGATGATTGATAGAAAAAATAATGTCTTGGGCAAGACGGCCTAGAACATCGGGCCGTGATCGGACGTCATGACGCACATGTGGTGGTGATTGTGCTGAAAATTGAAACTGGAAATAGAAATTGAAATTGAGAGTTGTGGTTGATGTCACAAAAGAGACGGCCTAGCCGATCGGGTCGTGATCGGACTCCGTGTAAGAATACGGTGGTATTGTGAATAATGGTTTATCTATATTCAAGCCCTCCCAACCTAAAATCATGGAATTTACTTGAAAGGTTATGTGATACTTAAATTGATGTTATGGTATTGTTTAAGGTTTATATTGATTTCATAGTTATGTCCTCTTGTATCATTGTTCATTTTAATGAGATGGTGTTTAGTTATACATACTAGTACCATTCGACGGTACTAATGTCCCTTTTGCCGGGGGCGCTACATCATAAATGGATGCAGGTGGTTCCATAGTAGGCAATGTTGATCAGCCTTAGCGGTACATCCTCCTCCTAGCAGTCTTGTTGAGCCCCATTTCATTTTGGGGTCATAAATCTTTTGTTCCTTATGTATTGTACTTGAGGTATAGCCTTGGACCTTGTTGCCGGCACTTTTGTAGTACTCTTTTGTATCTATTTAGAGGTTCTGTAGACATAGTGTAGGTTATATGTATATGGGTACTGGGAAAGTCAAGCGAATCATGTTGTGTTTGGATCATTTATTCAACTTCATACTATGAAATGGTGTGTATTTTGAGACATTAACTAATGAAGTAACTAAGGAAGAATGATTTGGAATTTTACTCATGATCTCCTTAATATCTAATTAATGAAAATGTGTTTTCTCTTAATGCATGAGCGAGTTGGGTAGAAAGAATCTAATAGGCTTGCTTAGCCGGGTTCACTCAGTTGAGCGTCGGTCGTGCTCCCCAAGTTTGGGGCGTGACAAACTTGGTATCAGCACCTAATGTTTTAAAGTGTCATAGGATGTCTCAGAGCCGTGTCTAGTAGAGTCCTTCTTATCGGTGTGTTGTCAACCACATCTATAAGTTGGACTCTACGTGGACATTTAGGAAAATTACCCTTTTTCAATACTCCAGATCGTGCGATGAAGCTTGACTATAACATTGTATTCTGACTCGTGCGTTGAGAATCAATGTGAGTTTAAATGTTCTTTCATCTATTCCAAGTAATGTTGTCATATAACATGACAAATAGGCAAAGGCCTGAATATCAAGGAGATGGAATATGTATCATGTTGAACGAATGGTATGTACATATAAGATAAGTACATGGTACATAAGCATACTTTATTTGAGAAAAGTTTTAGAAGTGATTACCCATCTCCAATGAGACATTGACTTGATAAATGAGAAGTAAGCTTGAACAACACATGTGGGTAGTGTGGGAAGCATGTATATGATCCTAAGGTGTAAAAGAATTTTTTGTTATATAAGTATGTGATATATGTAAGGCATAACCAGGAGATTAATGGTGAGAGTGTAAGCCTCTCCCATGAGACAAGAAGTTATGAAAGGAGAGTAAATTGAACACACAATGAAAGACCTTTGTACTATGAATTTTATAATAATCTAGAAATGTACGAAGTTGTATTACACTCCTAAAGGATACTGATATAAGGGATTAGAATCCCAAGCCCATGTGGCTGAATGAGAGCAGAGAACTAATGATGTTAATACCATGGCGACTTAATAGTGGAACATATATACGAGGGATAGAGACATGAGACATATATCCCTAAAGTTGCAAGAAATCAAGACTTGTGTCGAAACCCGGGACATTCGCCCTACGCGGCGGAGGAAGGGCCATAGTGAGGCCACTTAAATATAATGAAACAAAAGTAAGACCATGTACCCATGTTTTTTGAATATTTTGTACATGTTCAGCTAGATAAGTGTTAATGGGTAACGTGATTATCTGAAAGGTTATACTAATGATATACAACTAGTACCCCAAGAAGGTGGAAGGTTATGGAAGGTAAATTCCTCACACATTACAATGTGAGTGGTAGGGTCAGGGATCCTACAACCAAGAAGTAATGTTTCTAACGGGATTCTATACTTGATTAGAGGGTCAGGAACAATGCAACCCAACGAAGTACTATAGATCAAAAGTGAATGGTTGCAAGTTTTAATATAGGTTAATCATGGATTTGCAGTTTAACCAATGTTCCAAGGCTTTAAGAAAGGAGGAACGAGTAGGAGAAATAAATTAGATACTATAGTAACCCAAGAGGGTATTGGGACTTGATGGAGAGCCTCTTAATAATCTTACAATCAATGAAGTGTTAAGTGAGCACACTTTCCCACGGATATCCCAACAAGCATCGAGAGGTGAGTTGGATGAATTCCCAACTAAAGGAAAAGACCACGTAACATATGGAATAGTGCATAGCTATTCACTAACTAGGAAGCACGAGGTGAGAAGAAGTGGGAAGAAAATATATAAATTGAGATGGTCATGGTTATCCTAAAATAGTTCGTATCGGAATGGTGGACTCACATGGAGCACAAGTGTTAATAGAAGGTATAAAGGACTAATAATAATGCAACCGACGTGGGTGATACTGAATATCAACTAAAAGATCTAGATGGAGTTCATGTCTACATATTACAAGAGAAAGTGAGACTACTGGTGGTGAAGTTGTGGTATGATAAACTCAGCAAACCAGCGATATTTAACATGGCAGCTCTTAAGCTGCAATATTAGGGAAATCTATTAGTAGTTATAATACGAACAATAAGGTGTGTTACTGATCGAGGATAGAATCAGATTGAAAGACTTACACTTAAGAGGAAGCCTAATACGGGCTATATATATAAAGGGTGTTAATATGTGTTTTGGGAGGTGTTTAACAGTAAAGAGTGATCATGAGAATGTTCACAAGGGAAGTAGACCGGTTTCTTGAATTCTATAAGGCATATAAGGGGAGAAGAGAATGGCAAAGAAAAGTCCGAGCTTAATGTTACCTTACATTTCATGTAGTATCATGCAGGTTGATGTTATCAGGGTGTGTGCACAAGCTAGCATATGTTATTCCTTTGAAATAGAGGGTCCTATGAGAAAACTCATTCAGTAACGTCTTTTGTGTAGAATTTGAAAGAGCGAGTTGCAAGTATTCACAGAAGATTATAACCATATCAGGGAAATTATTGTATAACTCAATTCCTAGGAGGTCTTATGTAAGAGAAATGTGATAAAGATGTTCGACTAATGGTTTAACATGGTATGGTGATAGTTTATACCTCCAGGAAACTCAAGAATCATGAAAAGAACTGAGCAACACGACTTAGAACTTGCGGCGGTGGTATTTGCATTGAAGATTCGGCGACGGTAATTGTATGGGGTCCCTTTGGATATATTCACGAAACAAAAGAGCCTTCAATATATTTTCAAACAAAAGGCATTGAATCTGCGGTAGACAAAATGACTTGAGTTTCTCAAAGACTACAACATCAATATTTTATATCATCCGGGGAAGGTTAATGTTGTGGAGGATGCTCTTAGCCGGAAATCTATGGGAATTTTTGCTAACTTGGAAGCATATCAAAGGTCGTTGGCCAAGGAAATTTATCAGTGGGCTAGTATGGGAGTTCGTTTTGTGGATTCTAGTGAAGGTGGGGTAATTGTGCAGAATAGGGTTGAATCATTGCTTGTAGTGGACTCAAAAAAAAGCAATACAATGACCCATTGTTGGTACAGCTGAAGGAGAGGATTCATAAATAAAAGAACACATCTTTTTCTCTTGGCATGGATGATGGTACACTACGGTACCAAGGGCGACTATGCATTCCAGATATTGATGGTCTTCGGGAAAGAATCATGGCTGAAGCTCAAACTTCTAGGTAATCCTTGCATCCGGGCTGTACAAAAATGTACCATGATCTTAAGGAAGTCTACTGGTGGAATGATATGAAGAGGAATGTAGCGGACTTTGTGGAAAAATGTCCAAATTGTCAGCAAGTCAATGCCGAGCATCAATGGCTGGGTGGGTTGACACAGAACATAGAAATTCCAATATGGAAGTGGGAAATGATTAATATGGACATTATGGTAAGAAATTCACAGACTCAATGCAAGTTTGACTCAATTTGGGTGAATGTGGATCGAATCACAAAATCATCGCACTTCTTGCCAGTTAAATCTACCGACAAAGCGGAACATTATGCTCAGTTGTATATCGAGGAAATTGTCAGATTGCATGGCACTCCAGTTTCTTTGATTTCTGATCAGGGGCCACATTTCACAACCAACTTTTGGAAGAAATTTCAGCAAGGTTTTGATATTTAGGTGAATTTTAGTACAACCTTTCATCCACAGACTGATGGTCAGGCAGAGCAGACTATTCAAACACTTGAGGATATGTTGCGTGCTTGCATCCTTGACTTGAAAGGTAGTTGGGATGACGATTTACCACTAATAGAATTTTCTTACAACAACAACTATCATGCTAGCATTCAGATGGCACTATTTGATGAGTTACATGGTAGGAAATGTAGATCTCCTATTGGGTGGTTTGGGATTGGGAAGCTAAATTGATAGGACCAGACTCATTCATCAAGCTATGGAAAAGGTTAAGATCATTAAGGAGCTGTTGAAAACAGCTAAGATTCATCAAAAGTCCTATTCAAATGTTTGTCACAAAGATTTGGAGTTCAAAGAAGATGATTGGGTATTCATGAAGGTTTCCCTCATGAAGGTTATAATGCGGGTTGGAAGGAAAGGGAAATTAAGTCCGAGGTATGTTGGGCCACGAAAAATCATGCAGAGGATTGGTCAGGTGGCTTACAAGCTTGAGCTACCACCGGAGATGTCATTAGTGAAACCGGTATTTCATGTGTCTATGTTGAAGAAAGTAATTAGGGATCTGTCGCTTATTGTGACAGTTGTGACTATCGAGGTTAAGGATGAACTGTCATATAAAGAAATTCCAGTTGCTATTCTTGATAGGCAAGTCTGAAACTTGAATAAAGAAATTGCCTCCGTGAAATTATTATGGAAAAAACAGCAAATTGAAGAGGCTACTTGGGAAGTCGAGGAAGGGATGAAGAAGAAGTATCCTTACTTGTTTGAATAGTTGTGTAATCCTTTGTTTGAAGTTGTTGCCTATGAATTTCGTATCACTAGTTCAGTTAATGTAAATGTGTTCCTTTTAAATTATATGTTGCTTATGAAACCACAATTAGTGTTGTTTTGGTTCAATGTTACGTCATCGGGTCATATACATATTGTTAGGGTGTGTGTTCAAGGGTTCTCTGACAGGTGGATAAGCCTAGATACAAAGGAAACTCTGGCAAATTTTTTGGAAATTCAGCGAGTTATTCAAATTTGGGACTGATGGAGTGTAGTGTGGCAGTTGAGCTACGTCGGATGCTAATAGTGAACTTTGACACTCATTCGAGGATGAATGATCTTAAGTTGGGGAGGATGTAAGGCCCCATAAAATTTCACTAAAAACCTAAAATTTTGTGGTGCTGAGTTAGGCTTCTTTGTTAAAAAGTGTAGAGATTCTTTTGGGACTGAACATTGTGCTGGGAAGTTGAAGGAACTTTTGGCAAATTTTTGGTGTTTTTGCAGCCCATAATGCGGATGCACAATCACTCTACGGGATGTACAATGTCCATTGAGTGAGGCAGTCTTTTGGGCTATTTTGTATGTCAATTTGTGGCCCAATATGTGACCTTAAAACCATTTCGCAGGCCACACTCTGATCGCGTATCATTCCTTGATATTTCAGGTGGAGCTTCTACGGCACATTATGCGACCACAGAATAGTTTTGCGGACTGCAGACTGGTCAGAGACTGAAGTAAGAAATATTAGTTTTGGAGGGCCAATTATGCAGCCCACTTTGCGGACCGCAGAAGTATTATGGAGTCGATATGCGACCGCAGATCCTATTTTGGGGCTTCACTTTGGTATTTTATAACCAGACCCTACTTCAATAAAATAGATGCAATGGGTCATTTTGAGAAAAAATCTTGTATTTTGACAGTGAGAAAGAGAGCATGGGGGGGGGGGGGGGAGAGTGACCTTCATCCCATTATCCACCAATGCTTGATCAATCCTTGAAGATTATCAAGCAAAGCTCACTAAGTCTTAATCCAAAAGGTAAGAATCTATATCCTAACCCTTAATTTAGAAAATTAACTAAAAATAGGTAATTAGCAAGACAATCCTTTGGTAAGGGAGTTGTTTATTTTGTATGCATGTGTGATGAGAGCTAAGGCCAGCTTTTCGAGGTGTGGATAATGGGTTTATGATCCTGACAGTATCTTACTAACGTAACAAATGGGAAATTGCGTATCTTCTTTTTCTCGAAAAAAATGGCACCTACCGCCAACCTCCCAGTCAGCCTCTGTACTTCTTTTACATTTGAAAATCAGTCCAAAATGTCCTCGATAGCTTTGATTTTGTTGGGATTTACCTCGATCCCTCTTTGCGAGACTAAGAACTCCAAGAACTTATCAAAGCCAACCCCAAACACACTTTTTTCCTGGTTGAGTTTCATGTTATCCTTCCTCAGGATTTCGAAAGTCTCTTGGAGGTGTTTCAAACATGTCATATATGTATACCTCCATTGTTTTCCTACCTGACTTTCAAACATTTTTTTAACGAGCCTCTGATAAGTGGCTTCGACATTCTTAATCCCAAAAGACATCACATTATAGCAATATGTGCACAAGTTCGTTATAAATGAAGTTTTTTCATGATCCTCAGGATTCATCTTTATTTGATTGTACCTACTGTAAGCATCAAGGAAATTCATTAACTCATGTCTGACCATAGCATCAATTATTTGATCAATGTTTGGCAATGGAAATGAGTCCTTATAGTCTACGCACATCCTAAACTTGTTATCCTTTTTTCGAACTGCTATTACATTGGATAACCATTTTGGATATTTTACCTCCTAGATGGAATTGATATTGAGTAGTCAGGTTACCTCTTCTTTGATAAATTTGTTGCTGACCTTGGCTATCGGACACTTCTTTTGTCTTAGTGGTGGGACGTTTAGGTCCAGAATCAATTTGTGAATAGCGACCTGTAATAGGACATATTGTAAGGCCCCGTGAAAACTTGTACTCAAAACCTGGTAGCTCGGACCTTTTGTACTGGTCTATGCTATAAAAAATCAAGAAATACTGTTTTCCAAAAAATGCGATTCTGCGGTCGAGAATGCGGTCGCATATCAGGTATGCGGACTGCATAATTTCCACAAAGTGAGTCAGTGTGTTGGTCGAATTTGAGGTTAAATATGCGATCCGATATGTGATCGCATAATCGATATGCGGACCGCATAGTCATCGCGTGTGGGTATGAATATGTTTCGTGGTAAAGGGTGTGGAACAAACGATGGAAAGAAATCGTAATTAATATAATTGAAACAACTGTGGCAATATCATACGTGACTTGTTGTGGGCAATTATCGTTGTGACATGAATTGTGTATGGGTTATTATATATGTTGGAATTGGTATTGATGTTTATGAACACTCTTTGTGAATTGTTGCTGTTGTTGTGTGAAATATGATTGTCTGGTGGGATTGGGTTGCGCGCCACAACACGAAGTAATAAGGTGTAGGTTGTGGTGATAATGGTGGCCGAGGTAATAAGGGTGGAAAAGTGATCGAAATCACTGTTGAAATAAAAATATGTGAAAGTTGTGAAATCATTGATGTGATGAAACAATGTTGAAAGGGGAAAATGAGAGATTGTGGAGTTTGTTTTTCTTTGGTTGTTCCTTTCATGTGCATTTGATTGTTGATTCTATTACTATTTGTTATCTGTGTATTTCTTGATGTTACTTGGGGTAAAGTTTGTTCATACATAACAGTACAATTCAAATGTACTGACGTCCCTTTTGCCGGGGGCGCTACATTTGTGTTATGATTGTAGGTGGTTCTATAACAGGTACTCCAGCCCACCGACAGTAGCACTCCTTCACCTCCCGTCAGCTGAATTGGTGAGCCCCTTTCCTCTCAGGGCCTGCATGGCTTATGTCGCTTATCCTCCCGATAATTTTATTTTGGTATTTGTGTAAGGTATAGCCGGAGCCTTGTTACCGGCAAGTATTGTAACACTCTTCTGTATCTCTAGAGGCTCCATAGACAGGAAATGTGGGTTATGTACTTATGTATTTTGGGCAGTATAACTTGTAAACCACGCTAAGTAACTATGTATGTTATGTAAATCTCGTAAGAATGTGCTTAAATTTATAAATGGCTATTTCACTTGGTTAATGGGTAATGGAAACGCAGGGTATCACGTGGAATGGGAAAGGCCCCCAGGTCCGCTTGGCTGGGGGCTACCCGGTCGATCGCCGGTCGCGCCCCTCAGTTTTTGGGGCATGACATATATGTCATATCAGAATGCGGCTATGCAAAGCAATCTGCATTAGCTTTAGGAAAATTTATAAATTCTAACATGAGTTCGGGATTGAGTCCTGTTCCCAAGTGAAACTTCCTTTCGGAAAAGTCATCGAATAAGGCCACTTGCTCAAGTTCCTATGCAGTCAACTTGGTTGTATCCGTCTACTCTGGTATCTGAAAATATCTTGAAATCTGATAGGATTCCGATGACTCCTCGCTCTTATCTTCTTCATTCATAAAGGGATAAAGCCCCGGATCCTGTGATTGCTATTTGTTTGAATTTTTCACTTTGCTACTAGAAACAGTCACTGCATTCATCTCCCTTGATGTCGGTTGATCTTCTCATACTTGCTTGATTCTTTCTGGGGTTATAAATTTCAACAACTGATAATATGTGGAGGGTATGACCTCCATCTCGTGTATCCTAGAACTTTGAAAGATTACATTTTAACCCATATCGCCATCTACCACATCGAATAGAGTGGTCTTTGTTACTCCTTCGGCATTTGTGGGCAGCAAAATCTCCCCTTGGGTTGTCACACTTGTTAGGTTGAATACAGCTAAGATTTGTGTCACCAAAATGAAGCTCCCGGTCAATGCATGTCAACAGATCCAATCATATTTATTTTTCAGTTGCAGATAAACAAACCGACCTTTTGTCATTAATCTTCGGAGGCGAATTACATATTCATATTCACAATAAATGAATTAGTGAGACTCCATTTCTTTTAATATCCCTAATCTTATTGAATTTTTGAAGTCAAATCATTTCACGGGACTGATGAAATGAAAAACTACAAAGTGGAATTCACATGGATTTAGGAAGGGCCTGTTGTATTTGTGTACCGGCTAATGTTTTTTGAAAAACGAATACGTTTGGTCTCTTTCTTTGTCAAATAGGCTTTTCTTTCATATACCTTACTTACGTCGACCTACCGAAGCACAACACGAAAAAGGAAGTCCTCTTTTTCTGTATTCAACCAAGAAAAATGCCGCCACCTGGATTCGAACCCTAAATTTGAATAAGGGGAGAGAGAAGGAGTCGTTGACCCAGAGGAGGATTTATTCAATCACATAGTTTGGGCTCCTAGAATATGGCACCCTCGGGCTTTCAATTTGATGGTATCCAAAGGCTCAATGAATTTGGATCTCCCTATTGGTCCAAGTTATTTTAGGGCAAGCAGATCATTTATGATGAAGCAGATAAGTTTCAAGAGAATGATTCAAAGTTCTTGTGGAGTGAAAACATACAGTACCAGAAAAGAGATAGATCTTCCAAAGAACAAGTCCTTTTTCGAATAAGCCAATTCATTTGGGACCCTGCAGATCTACTATTTTTCCTGTTTAAAGATCAACCCCTTGTCTCTATGTTTTCACATCAAGAAATATTTGTAGATGAAGAGATGTCAAAGGGGCTTTGCCTGTTCCAAAACCCTCCATTGTATTATGTCGCCTGACCTTCATGGGTCAACCAAAACGCATTTAATTTTGAACTCCAAAATATTGAGAAAGATTACCAAAGCGTCATTGTGTGGTATAAGGAGTCCGTCAACGTCTTCCTCCATGAAAGTGATGTCAACTTCTGTGACTTCCCGAAGTCTTTTGCTGTGAGTCATCGATATCTTCATTTTCTTTGGTTCTAAAAAGGATACACTATTGATGTCATTCCTCTATAATTCATATTGATTGTCAGCCAAGGGGAGCCCTCTACTACTTTAGAAGGCTTTGCATTGGCCCGGCTTCAGCCATAGTTATTCTACGCTCGATCACTTAAAAACTCCCTGAGATGGCCATTCTTCAACAATGTCTCCGCCTCCTAATGAAGATGCCAGTAGTACCAAGTTCTATGGCCAGGAGTCCCATGGTATTCGTACTATAAACTAGGATCGCTCTGGCTAGGATTGACCGGATTGGATACAAGAACTGTATGTATTCGATATTCCTAATTGCTGATACCAACTCTACTAAGCTGATGTTAAATCTATAATATGATAACCTAGATATGTGGGGTCTTGGGCCCCGGGCATATCTTTCTCATGTAATGACCTGTTGCTCCAGCCACGATCGGTTCTTCTATTAGGAGAAAATTTATCCAATGACAGAAAACTTTTGTTGCTACGACTTTTGGTTCTTTCATAAGGTAGAAAACGACCTATATAGGATCATTGATCCACTTCAAAGTAGCTTTTAAACTTGTCCTAGTTTTTGTCTCAATCCCATCCCTGATTGATTCCGGGAACCCTAGTTGATCGTTTTCTATCCTTATTTTTAACTTGTAACGATTAGGGGCATCCGTCCATGTGGTTGCTCGAAACTCGAGCTGGCTTTACTTTAACGTTCGGGAGGCATTGGAGCTCCGGTAATTGAGACCCTTTGTGAATGACTCTACTTTAACATCCTCTCTTTCTGGAACCGAATCATGAATTCTCACAGCAGTTCAAACTCACCCAACGCAATCTTGAATATGTTAGCTTTTCTGGCTTGAACCTTACTTGCTTCGGCATGGTCCTTAATGTACAAGTCAACAAGAATCTCAAAAGAGTCAATTGAATGGTTGG